TGCAAGATGCTAGAATAAGAAGAGGATTTGGTTTGCCTAATTGGGAGTTGTATTACCAAGCTACAAATGTGATGTGGGTTAAGGAATGGATAACTTTAAGAAATACTAGATTGTTGACATTAGAAGGACATGATCTATTGTTGGGGTGGCATGCTTTTTTATGGTATAAAGCAGGGGTCCTCAACCACCGGGCCGCGGACCGGTACCGGGCCGTGGAGCACTCTCTACCAGGCCGCAAAGATTTTTTTTTTTTTAAATGGCGGCTTTCTTCACCTTCGGTGAATGCTGCTGGGATCGGAGATCAAGGACACAAATGAAAGAAGGGGAGGGAGGAAGCAACCGAAGCCTGTCCTTCTCTCTGGGTCAGCTCTCTCAGTCGCTCTCTCGCTCCTCCACCAGCACAGGAAGAAACTGCTTCAAAGAAGCGGGGGGGGGGGGCTTTTCCTGTCGCCGCAGCTTCCCCGAAGCACCCGTTTCTCCCCCACCCCCACCCCGTCCGCCCACCCGCCCGCCCGCGCGCGCGCGTGCGCGCGGGGTTCAACCCAGTGCTCCGTTCTGCCTGCCTGCCTGCCTTCATTAATGGTTGAATCGGAACAGCTTCGGCTGAGTAAAAGAGGCGAATAGTTATTATTCTCAGCCGAAGCTGCTCCCAAACAACCAGAAACTAAGGCAGGCAGGCAGGCAGGCAGGCAGAACGGGACACTGTGGATTGAAGCGCGCGCGCGCGTGGGGTGGGAGTGGGGGTGAAACGGGCGCTTCGGAATAGCTGCGGCGACAGGAAAAGCCCCCCCCCCACTTCTTTGAAGCAGTTTCTTCCTTGGATGGTGGAGCAGCGAGAGAGCGAAGCCTCCTTCTCTTCTCTTCCCCTCCCCGGTCCTTGCAAAAATTTTCTGCTTGAAACCGGTCCCTGGTACAAAAAAGGTTGGGGACCACTGGTATAAAGGAACTAACACACAGGGGTACTTTAGAAGACATTGTATACAGGAGTCTCTGTGGTTAAATTGGGGGAAGATTAAAAGACAATGTTATTTGAAAATTCCAGTCTGGCTATCGACTATTGAAGCATTTTCTTATCCTATAATATACAAAAAGGAATCTGATTTTATACTTATTTTTCTGATTTTATACTTATTTTTCACTGTATTTTTTTTGGGGGGGGGGGAGTTGTTTTTCCCAGTCTTAAATTTTCCATTCTCTTTCCCCCCACCTAAGATTATTTGTTCATTAAAGATGGCTTCTTCTTTGTCGCAATCTTCTTGTTCTGCAGGCATTTCTTGTTGTTTCCCATAATTCCAAATCTCCATTTCTAAAAACTGAAATACGAAGCCAAAAGAACCTCTCCCTTCTTGTGCATCTTCTTTGTACTTTTTAAGTTCCATTTTCAGTTCTTCTAAAAGTGGAGCCGTTTTAAACAGTTTTAAACAACCACCCGATTGATTTTAGTCATTCAAATACAATAATCAAAAATCCAGAAATCATCAAGTAATCCAAATAGTCCCAAATTATTTCTTCTTATTTCTTTTTCCACTTTCTCTTCCTGGGGTTTTTGTTGCGATATTTCAGTTAAAATGTATCTTTTGAAGTCTTGTTGAGATTTTGCTGTAAGTTCTTTTTAATTCCAGGCAGTCTCCTCCCTTCCAGATCCTGCCCTTTTAGTCTTTTTCTCTCCTTTCCTGTTTTCAAAAGCTTTTGATTATCCAGAAATCTTTATTATCCCTTTGACTTTTTATTTACAGCATTAAATGCCTATTAATGTCAAAGTGGATTTTTTTCCCAACTTCTTGCTTAAGTCTCTTAGCTGTCAGTATAGGAAAAGGAGAAAAAAAAACCCAAATCTTTTCCCTTTTCTCTCTCCTTCGCATCTTAAAAATCTTCTTAGGGAACAATGTTATTGTTTTTTAACAGTTTCAATTCCAGGGTACCTTATTTGTTGCTTTTGCTGTTTGACCCGGTCAACCAAAACTTTTTCTTCTTATCTTCCTCCTGCACATTCTTTTCCAGTCGAGTTCTTCTTTGTGGTGGCCATTTCTGACCACCGCTACAACCTCCTTCAGGAAAGGGAGTAATGGCCAGCTGGGGAGAAGAGATGCAGCTCTCCTCAACCCTGCAGGCAGTCTCCCCCTTCTTCACCACCTCTACGGGGTGGCTTAGCCCCGAAACCAGCCGGCTCGGGGCGCTCCAGCGGTGAGCATGGATCGAAGCCTCGCAGAAATGAGGTTTCGGTCAGTTGCTGAAGAAGCTCAAACCGGAAGTCCAAACAAGACTCTTTCTAATTAGAAATTAAATGTTTCATATTACAATGAAATGTGTTTAGGTCTATTGAAAAAAGCACAGCCAGAAATATCAACAATGAAATATATGATTAAATAAAAATATCCTTGCTTTGTCTATTAGTCAACTTTTAGACTGTTCGATTTAAGAGAGCAGCAGTTACAAAGAAGATTTAAAAAAAACTTTCTGACTATAACGTCATTTCTCTTTTGTGGTCTTATAAAATATTTTAAACCATTTGCTTTTAATTACTTTTTTCTCTCCTGTCAAAAAGCTAGTATTTTGTAACTGGTTGAGTATGACATACAAAAAACCCTGAAAATTTCTCTTTCTACTAATTGTGTTTCTTCTTCCTTTGCCTGGCACACAATCTTTTCTGCTTTGGGGACAAAACTATTAAAACATTGGGAGGGATGATCCGTGTCTTGTGCATAATTTAGAACCCAGACAATCTGCCAGTCATGAATAATCTCAGCTTCTAGCAAAGGTAATGAAGTCCCTAAATACCCTCATGCAATTGCGATATGATGCGCCCTGTTATAAATATTCTTGTCACTATGCAACAGCTGGTTGTTAGGCAATTCAGAAGAAAAGGAAACTGATAAGTTCTTCTTGAGAACAGTAGTTGATTAATTCTACCGTTATCACAATGCTGACTTCCAACCTATCTCTGCATTAAATTATTAATCTCATTGCACCAGTCTATAAAATAAAAATGGAAAAGGAGTAAAATGCATTAACCATGTAATTATAATTATCTGTTGCTGTTTTAACAAATCAGGATAGGCTTTGAGATATGCTTTGTACAGACTGGCTCAGCTAACTTACAGAATCCCCCCCAAAACAGTTACAAAGTAAATGGCAAGCATCTTGTTACCAAAATGATGGCATTATATTTTGATTTACCTATCTGGAAGGCCTTTTGCATGTGGTGGACTGAGAAAATATGAGGTGTGGATTAAGAATAAACAATGTTTTATTACTAAGTTGTAAAAATTCCTTCTACATTTCAGAAAATACATTGTGATGGAAGAATCTTTGTGATTTACCCCTTGTCTGTATATTAAGTTTACATCCTGCCTTTCCTTCAGGTGCAAGGGAGTGTTTTAGCCCTCCCTCCTGCTATTTCCCTTCACAATAATCCTGTGAGGTACGTTGTGGTGAGAGGGGGGAGGGGAGAGGGAGGGAGGAAAGAGGGAGAGTGAGAGAGAGGGAGGGAGGGAGAGAGAGAGAGAGAGAGAAAGAGAGAGAGAGAGAGATCACACCCGCCCTAGCCATGCCCATCTGCCCTCCCCAAGGTCAAACACAACCCTGATGTGGCCCTCAATGAAACCAAGGTTGACGCCCCTGGGATAAAATGATGGGGGATTCCTCTCTTGATCTCTCTCTCCGAGAGAAAACTTGATATTTAATAAATCAAATAATTGGCCACAATTTTACAGAATATCAGGTGTCATATTCCAAGGTGAATTCTTCATTTTGGGAAGAATTTCAGGAAATCCAGTGGAAGCCTCAATAAAAGCCAAGTGTGTTAGGTAGTAGACTTATACCGCCCTCCCCACTATGTTTCTTGTAACTCTAATGGTATATTGATAATACCACAAATATTACAAATGCATAGCTTTTCCTATATAGCCAAAAAGAGAAATGTGAAATATCTATTATAGTTATATCATAAATTGGCTTCATTTTTACTATAATTTGGCCATCCAGAAGAACTTTTATCTTTATCTCGAATTAGATTAGTGGATAAATAGATTCATTATGTAATAAATATATTTGTAGTTTAATATGTAAATCTTTTTTTAACATCTTTTAGGTTTTCTAAATCTTACCTTGAGCAAATGTTTCAAATGTCATTTGGTGTAGCATCCCACCAAATAGTTCCAACCAGTAGAAAGCTTTTACCACAAACTGTATTATAAAGCTTTTATTTATTCAGTATAAAACAAGTATTACATACTTCTACTTAACAAGTAGACAAAATGGAAGTATTTAAGTCCAATTTCAAAGAAAGTCCACAAGCATTTTTAAAAGCAGCACGACCTCCAAGTTTGGAGGGTAGGTTTTTCTTAACAGATGGGCTCCCTAGTCAGAACATTTATAGTTTTTTCCCTTTTACTCAGTAGGTCACTTCCACAAGATAGATATCAAGATACTTATTTCATGTGTTTTTAATTGCTGTTAAGTAAAACAGGCATGGAACATTAAAAGATGGATTATAGTTTTCCTTTGTTCCAGATCCTTAACAGACCACAGCAGGTGCATACTTACCATGATGCAGTTTAAATGAGTCACCATATGTATAATCATAGCTGTAAAAGTAAATGCAGCAGTAAAATTATTTTAATTATATATATATATATATATATATGAAAGCTGGTTATCTCAGTATTAGAATGTTGGCATGGCCTGGTGGGGGAAGAAAGAGTTATATTCATATGTTCTACATGGTGCCTGTCTTAAGAGACTGATGTTAGCTGTCTTCTTGTTTCACCATAAAAGTGGAAGGAAACATCTCATTGTAACTCTGCCTAGTGGAGCATTCTAATTGACTCTGAAGTCATTAATCAGCTCCCAATCAATCTACTCTACCAACAGCAGGAAGTTTGATGTCCATTACCTTCCATTTATCATGCCATCACCTAATTCACTGCACCATTAGCCACAGATTAGGTCTCAGGATAGCAGCCTCAGCTTCCCACCCTTCAGAGACTCCTGTCACTCACCTCAGCCACTGGGATTCCTTCAGGTGGGCGACACTGAAGTAGTACTTCTTGCTCCAAAGACACTTCCTTTCCTAATGGTTCCTGTTCAAAAGTTTTCCGTAAATCTAGGATGGGAGGAAAAACATATTTAATTGTACTATTCCTTATGGCTAAAGACACATTTCTTCTGAAATTGTATTTCCAGGACTAATACGTGGATTGCAGTTCTTTTAAGTTTTGTGAGGCTGTTTCTAAGGTATACAAATATTGTATACAAAAAGTAGAAGGTAAGAGAGGGAGAGAGGGATGGGAGGGGAGGGGAGGGGAGGGGATGGGAGGAAGGAAGGAAGGAAGGAAGGAAGGAAGGAAGGAAGGAAGGAAGG